TTTTTGAAAAGATAATAGACCAATATTTTCAAAAGACGCAATCCAACGATGCATTAATAAACATTAAACGAAATTTTTAGAAAATATGTAATCCTAAGATGAATTAATAACAACAAAACAATAGCTATTTAGAAATACAACCTTAGAATGCATTAATAACCATAAAACGGTTTTTTGAAAAGAAGCAACCCTAAGAGACATTAATAACTAAAAATGATTTTTTCGAAAAAACACAAACCTAAGAGACACTAATAACCATAAAACAATTTTTTAGAAGACGAAACTCTAACATTAATAACCTAGAATGTAAACTATCAAAAAGTTTCTCGAGAAGATACATCTTTACATAAACCAATTTTTTTCTAAAAAGACGCAATCCTAGGATACTTTAATAACCATAAAACCAAATTTCTCAAAAAAACGCAACCTTAGGATGTATTATTAACCACAAAATGATTACTAAGAAGACGCAATCAAATCATGTATTAATAACTATAAAACGGTTTCTTTAGAAAGTCACAGTTCTCAAAGACATTGCTAACCATAAAAAAATTTAAAAGACGTAACGCTTAAAGATTAATAACCAAAAATATTTTTTTTTCCAAAACTCAATCCTAAAAAATATTAATAACCGTAAAACAATTTGTTTTAAAAGACGCAACCTAAGAAACACTAATAACCATAAAAAAAAATTGGGCAGTTACAAAAATGCCACTTTTTGTGTGCACATTTGCAAAAATGACACTTAGGGGTGTCCATTTATAAAAATGCCACTAATTATAAATTTATAAAGCCTATATCTTCAAATTCTAAACCCTAAAAAATGTTTTGACACCTAAAACCCCCTAAACACTCAAAACTAAACCTTAATAGACCATAATTAACCCAAACATAAATAATATAAAAAAAAATAATTTTGAAAAAGTGGCATTTTTGTAAAGATTTCAAAAGTGTGGCATTTTTATAAAGTGGCACTTGAAAAGTGGCATTTTTGAAATTTCTCAAAAAAATTTTCAAAAATGTATTAACCCTAAAAGACACTAATAACCATAAAATATTTTTTCTGGAAAGACACAACCCTAGCGTTAATAATCATAAAATGGTTATTTTTAAAAGAAACAACCCTAAAATATATATTTCAGGATTGCTATTATTGATAGACGTGATCCTTTAAAAAAATCTAGAATTATTATTTAAATAAAAAAACAAAATATTGTGAGACTTTGAAATAATTTTTGACTTTTTTTATCACATCATGTTTTGAGTGAATTTTAAAGTTAGTAATCATAAATGAAAAAACGTTCAATGAAATAAATATATAGAGTTTGAAAAACACAAATCTATATAGCAGTGTTTTTTTAAAAGATGCAACCATAGAGATAAAAACCATAAAGCGGTTTTTTTTAAATGGCGCAATCCTAAAAGACACTAATAAGTAAATAAAATATCTTGAAAAGATGCAACCCTAGCATTAAAACCATAATTATATGTCAAACGGTCTTTTTCCGAAAAAATGCTACCCTTGAAAATAACCATAAAGTGGTTATACTAAAAATAAGCAATTTTTGGAAATCGATTACTTTTGAAAGGACATAACCACAAAACAGTTATATTGAAAATGTGCAGCTCTTGGAAATAACGATAAAGTGGTTATATTGAAAAAAAAACAATCTTTGAAAATAACAATAAAAGGATTATTTCCGAAAAAACACAACCATAAAGCGGTTATCTACATATTAAATGCAATCTTTGGAAATAATTAGAAAACGATTATATCAAAAAGACGCAACTCTTGGAAATAACCATAAAACGGTTTTTTCTGAAGGACACAATCTTAAATAACCATAAAGCGGTTATATAAAAAATGCAACTTTTAAAAAAGAGGTTATATAAAAAAAAGACAACTCTTAGAAATAACTATAAAGCGGTTATATTGAATAAACACAATATTTCAAAATAACCAATAAACGATTTTTTCCGAAAAGACGCAATGTTTGGAAATAACTATAACTCGGTTATTTTCAAAAGAACACAACCATAAAGCGGTTATCTATATAGTAGATGCAATTTTTGGAAATAATCATTATACGATTACATTGAAAAAACACTACTCTTTAAAAAAACGGTTATATAAAAAAGACGCAACCCTTGGAAATAACCATTAAACGGTTATTTTCGAAAAGACACAACATTAAATAACCATAAAGCGGTTATATCGTAAATGCAACTTTTATAAAATCGGTTATATGGTAAAACGCAATCGGTTATGGGCCACAAAAAAAAATGTTTTTCCTTCCGCACTCATTTCACGGATTGGAACCATAGCTATTCGTCAAACCAATAGAATAATTCATATATTTTTAGGCCATTTAAATTGATTCATTTTTTAATTTAGAATTTTTAAATCGTCCATTGCATATAAAAAATATAGTTGATAACCAAATTGCCTTTATTTTGTAGTAATGTTAACGCGGCTTCAATATTTCGATGTATTACAACCCGTAAAAACTTCTTTCAAATATAAAAAATCAATGTTTCCACGGAGAATTGTTAGATTTTATTAATTTTTTGTATATGTAAAATTTGCCATAAAATCTGCATTGTCTAAAAAAATCCAAAATTCTTTACACAATCAAAAATTTTTGGAACTTTTACAATAGTAAAAAGTTTAATACTACTAAATAATTAAATTTAATCGAACGACATTTTTTTATCTTTGCTATGTGTTAAGTTAATTACAGAAACAGTAGGCATGATTAACAAAATGTTCAAAGGGATAAAAAGGTGAAAAGATATACTCCCTCCGTTTCAAAATATAAGTTGTTTTAGTTAAAGTCGCGACTATTAAGAAACTACTTTTCTTTAAAAAAATATAATTTAATATATATAATACAAATAATTTATCAAATAAAAAAGAGATTGCAGAATATTATTGGTCACACAATATTTAATAAAGCTAAAAAGTACATAAGATTGTCAAAACAACTTATATTTTGAAATAAAAAAATTCCAAAACAACTTATATTTTGAAACAGAGGGAGTATATATATAGGCGAAACGGTTTATTTTGAAAAGATGCAACCCTTAAAAATACCATAAAGCGGTTATGTCGAAAAGACGCAACTCTTGACAAAACGGTTATATCGGAAAGACGCAACTTTTGACAAAAAAAACGGTTATATCGAGAAAATGCAATTTTTTGAAATAACCACCAAACGATTTTTTACAAAAAGATACAACATTTCGAAAAGATACAACCCTTAAAAACAAATATTATATATAAGCCGAGAAGTCATACCCTAAAAATATTCATTTTTTTTAAGTTTGCTATTATATATAGATATGGTGCAATCGTACGCTTTTGAGTTTAAGAAGTTTTCTCAAATCGATCACGTCACCATTTAAACATCATAACATGACTACATGAGACGCTTTTATATACCGCAAAGTCCAACACAGACCTTCTTATCCTAACCAACTAACCATTTGGCCATTCGAGTTTTTAACCAACTCTAAACCATAAATCGTTTTTTTTTGCCATTGATTTAATCGTAATTTCACATTAATTTAACATAGTTTGATCAATGCATGATATTCACACTAGTATAGTCAGAGCCGGCCCTAGTTTGTATAGGGCCTCAAGCAACCATGCCCATGTGTTAACACCTAGTGTACCCAATGCTAGTTAAGGTATTGAAATAATTCGTCATGTATTTATTAAAGAGACAAAGGCCCCAAGCAGAAGCTTGATCAGCAAATCTTTAAACTGGCGTATTACCAAATTCTCAGAGTCTAAACCGATTGAATCGACCGTAAAGAATTGGTTTTGGCACCTGATCAGGCGTATGGTCGTCTGATATCGTGTGAATCAGACGTCCTTAGGCGCGTGAACCCCGTGATACATACTATGTCTCCTTGTTAAAGACGAAATTGCCCTTGAGTCAGAAACTGAGCAGCACCACACCAACCCTCCTCATCTATCTCCTTTGCCTTTTAAGCTGAGAGTCACAGTCTCGTCTCTATCGCCTTTTCCAACTCACTACACGCCAAGCGACGACCTTCCTTCTCTGTTTTTCCGGCGATGGCAACTTCTCTCACTGCCCACATCTCCGCTGGCACACAGCCCTCTGCTCCTTCTTTCTCCGGTCTCCGCCGCATTTGTCCCAAGCTCGACGCCGCCGTCTCCTTCTCCCACCGCCTCAATTCCTCTACCCGTCTCGTTTCTTCTTCGCGCCGGTCTCCTAGAGGCGTTGTCGCCATGGCCGGATCCGGAAAGGTTCCAACTTTAACACTTGCTCTGTATTCAATGCTAGATTATTGGTTTAGGATTTCGATCATCTGGGGAAGAAAGTTATTCCTTTTACTTTCGTGGTTAATTGATTCAATGCTTAAAGTTGGTTTCTTGAGAGACGATTGTTTTGGTTTGCTACTCCACAAATGATACATATGTGTTGAATGCTGGATTCAGGATTCCGATTGTCTTTCATATTCTGAGTTTATCACACTGTCTGAACAATTGGTTTTTGTCTATCATGTTGCAGTTTTTCGTTGGAGGAAACTGGAAGTGTGTAAGTACAATGTCCTGAAGAATTTGAATCACCTTCGTAGTTGTATTTTCTTCTATTTGTTTTGTCTCCTGCAATTGATGTCTCTTGTGCTATGTGTTTTAGAACGGGACCAAGGACTCCATCGCCAAGCTTGTCTCTGATCTCAACGCTGCAACCTTGGAAGCAGATGTAGGTGAGTGAGATGCTCGAGTCTCTGCTACTCTTGAAATGCCTTGAAATGATTGAAGTTCTATATATTTGGGACATTTGAAAAGTGATCTACGGAAGTCTTGTCTGCTGAGTTCCATTCATTTTAGCTATCATATCATAAGCCACAGAGTCAAACTTCTTTTTAGAACCAACCTTCTGCTGACCATTTGTTCTTAATGATCGTTTATGTGTAGATGTTGTTGTGTCACCTCCATTTGTCTACATCGACCAGGTCAAATCTTCGCTGACAGACCGTATTGAAATATCTGGTCAGAACTCTTGGGTTGGTAAAGGTGGAGCCTTCACTGGTGAAATCAGGTTACCACTTCTCTTATTCACTTATACTATACTCTGTTTACATGACTGAAAGTTAGCTAAAATCTCTGTTCACCTGTTTCACCATACAGCGTGGAACAGCTCAAAGACCTCGGCTGCAAATGGGTCATTCTTGGGCATTCCGAACGGAGACATGTCATTGGAGAAAAGGATGAGGTCAGTAAATAAAGTCTTAACAAGTAATACTGATTTTTCAAGAAAGGGTTGTGAAAACTTTCCATATTTCTCTCAACACAACCATAGTTTATCGGGAAGAAAGCTGCTTACGCATTGAGTGAGGGTCTTGGAGTAATAGCTTGTATTGGGGAAAAGCTAGAAGAGAGGGAAGCAGGCAAGACATTTGATGTTTGCTTCGAGCAATTGAAGGCGTTTGCTGGTAACACTCTCCTATTTTCTTTATTACTTACTGTCTCATGTTCTAAATCATATCTGAGGTCAATGAACAACAGTAATCTATTTGTAATTTCCAGATGCTGTGCCTAGCTGGGACAATGTAGTGGTTGCATACGAGCCTGTATGGGCAATCGGAACTGGTAAAGTTGCGTCTCCTCAGCAAGCACAAGAAGTCCATGTAGCTGTCCGCGATTGGCTCAAGAAGAATGTCTCTGAGGAAGTCGCCTCCAAAACGAGAATCATATACGGAGGTGAGTTTGTTTAGTTAGTTATCCCCTGCAAAAGCAAACTTTATGTTGATTATCTTCTACTCAATTACCAGGTTCTGTCAATGGAGGCAACTGTGCAGAGCTTGCCAAAGAAGAAGACATTGATGGATTTCTTGTCGGTGGTGCCTCCTTGAAGGTAAGTAAAGCTTTGACCTTTGTGGATATTGCTGTTGTTGACTAGAAAGTAAAGCTCACACCCACCTTTGATGTGACTATAGGGTCCTGAGTTTGCAACCATTGTGAACTCAGTCACGTCGAAGAAAGTTGCTGCTTAATTGAGAACTATCAGTGACTGAATGCGCTCGTCTCCATGGAACAGATGAGATCAGAAATAAAAGGGAGGTTTGCGACCTTGTTGTTGTGTTCTTACTTCTTGTTCTTGAACTAATAATGGAAAACAAACATCGATTAATGGGCTCTGGTTTGAAGAGAGTTTGGCTCTGGAACAGAGAGAGAAAGGGTCTTTGATTTAAGATCATTGTAACTTATAAAGTTATTACACCATATATACTTGCAGTAAAAGCTTTAATTCAAGAGTCGTTTCTGTATAATCTTTAAAGATTTTTCAAGCCACACTCAAAGTAATTGTTCCACTACTTATATGTATAGAGAAATTGATAAAGAGTAAATGGCAGATTCTACATCATTATAAGTAAAGTTGTTTCATGAGGAGAACAATTATGAAAAGAAAGGAAAGATTTGTCTAAGTAGTACAAATGCTGGAACAAACAAAAAGTCAGGCGTTTAAAACCCTAAAGTTCCTCAAGACTGAACTTAAAAACTTGGAAACTCTTTCAAATGCCAAAGCCGAGTCTATAGAAACTGCAAGGAGCAAAAGAGCTCTTTTAGTTCTTCTTGTTCTTCGATTTTCCAGACAATGTCTTGGCCAAAGGAGTTCCCTGAAAGCATAACACACATTTCAATCAGATTCAATCACATTGCAGAAGAACCAAACGTAGAAAAAGAGAGAGAGAAGCAAACCTCGAGCCATTCGTCGAGTGATGCATCGGTAGACCTGGTTCCTACTTCCACCTTGGACACCTTTTTGGTTTTCTGGTAAAAGAGGAGATAATCAGATGAATAATATTAAACCGTACAATGATTAACCAGAAAAGAAGATCCAGTGGTTTACCTTGGTGAGACGCTGTACTTGGCTGTACGCCCATAGACCGAGGAGGAGGAGGAGAGCAATTCCAAGTGTTATAAGGAAGACAGACTCACCGCTGAGAAGACCTCCAGATTCAACTACCTCTATGGTACCATTGTAGAAGACACTCTGGAATGGCTTCCCTTCCACGTCGTAGATAATATAACCCACCAGATCAAATGCTCCAGGCTGCGCAAGACACCAACAACAAGCAATAAGATCAGATCTTTTTGAGTTTTTAGAATATTATCGACTAAAGTAGTCTTCTTAGAATGATATGTGTACCTGCAGGTACTGGCTGACTGCAAAGATGTACGAGAATGATGCTTGAAGAGAAGTTGGGATGGATGCATTGTTGAATCTCTGCAAAATGAAAGGCAGCATGAGAACATCAGAAATATGCGGTTGATATATAAGTTTTATCCACTTTCTAATGGCTAAGACCAAAAAATCCGGAACAATATGAAAGTGTTGAAGTGAATAATTTAAAAAATTTCATTCCTTCCCTTTGGAATTATACAAAGGAAACACGCATCCAAGCTCAAAAGACAGACCCCAGATAATATGACTTTGCAAAACAACATCAGAACGTGAACTCCTCGAATATGCAGTGTTTATGGTGCAAACCAACTTACCAGCATGGTTAGATTCTGAACCAACAACTTATGGTCATAAGGAAGATGAACACTGGCCCTAATTCCCATCACTCCTATGCTAGATTTCCCTGTGATATGTCAGCCAATTTGGAGATATTTAGATCATACAACCAACAAAAAAACTCATAGAGATTGTTAAAAGAGGTATTTAGCTACCATCATTTTTCAGACCAACGAGGAGCTCAGTATCTTCTCCAGCTGGAACCACTGCAGGAAACAGTGGGCATATAAACAAACTCTTTAAAAATTGCCGTGAGCATAACAATGGATAGATAAAGGCGTGAAAAATCGGGGTAATTAATCCCTTACATTTCGCACTGTTTTTGGGAAAAACACAAACTGTCTCAACTCCTGGAAATGAGGTCAAATTCACATCCAAATCCTGGTCGTCTTCCTCAACCCCAGAATCACTGTTTTCTCCCACAACATCGTCAACAAGACTCGAATGATCATCGGGATCCGACTGACATCTAGCAACTGATCAAAGAGATAATAAAATCCATCAGGTCACAGTTACGACAAGATCTTCAAATCCTGACACATTTGAAAACGTTACAATTTGCAAATTTTCTTGTAGCAAAGATCGACATCGTGCGCAGCTTCTAGAAACTAAGAAAACAAAGACATGCAAGCAGACACTATTGAAGAAGAATCTAATTACATGGCATTCGATCTATAAGCAGACAAGTGATGAAGAGGATTTGAGAGGAGTAAAAGGATCCAAGATTTGTCTATTTCAAACCACATTCCTCCACGACAGACTTACGATTTGCAGCAATACACAAGACACAGAAAACGACAGATTATCAATCGCGAGCTGAAGGAAACGAGCTCAATTTCACTCGGATCGATAGCTAAGAGCGTAAACAGGACCAGATCCTTCCGGAAACCAGATCGGAACAAATATGAATTTCAACGTAAACTGTGAAAATGCGACGAATCAAACGGATCTAGATCTACAAAATCCAGAGAAAACAAACAAATAGATAGAGAGAGGATTGGAGGAGGAGAGACCTTGAAGCAGAGGAGATGCAAGGAGAAGGAGAGCGAGGAACAAAACCCTAAGATTCATCATCGCTTCGGTTTATGGTCAACGAAATTGCACAAGAGAAACACTGTCCTCGATGGTATTTATGCTGCTGCTCTTTCACAACAAGACCAGAAAAATTAATTCACTTTTTTTTCTTCTGGAAAATAAAAAAAAACATCTTTTTAAATTCGGGACTAAACAAAAGTTACAGAATACAACACAACCATAGAAACTCGAAAACGACACCGTTTGTCTGTTGTCTCATTTAATTTTGTTACCTTTTATTAACTTTATACATCAGACTTGACTATCTATAGATTCTTCAACATTCTTAATTTGTCATTATAATCAAAAGATCTCACACAAAAAAAAATTTCAAATGAAAAATCACAATATAACTAGGAAAAAGTACAGTTTCCTTTTTTTTTTAAAACCATTCCCATGATTTTAAGATTTTTAATTAAAAAAAAAAGTGTAATGTGTAATGGTAGATAGAGGGATTGCTAATAATGAGAATAAGCATTAAAAAATTTCCATGAACATTCCACTACTATTACACCCAAATCTGATAAACTTGTCAACCAGATTCCATGTAGCAAAAAGATCCATCAAAAGCATGTTCTGATCCAACATCAATCCCCATGGACTGTGTACCGTTCCCATTTCTTTGTCGGGTCGTAAATCTGCCCAAAGATGTGCAAAATAAGATTAGCTGCTTAATTAACGAGGTTGGCTTCACATTCAAAGTCTACATTGTTAGCTTGAGGATTAAAATGTGCAGAGGAATGGGTGAGATTTGGGAGTTACCTCCCATCTGGAAGCAGGGAATATATGCTTGTTCTTCTCGTACCAATGCCTCTCCACAACTTTACCCGCATGCGACTTTAACAAACAATACATTTTTACAAAGCTTTAGAAACCCAGCACTTCTCATCATCAAAAGCTACTCTGTTTTCTGATGCAACTAGATCAGGAGGAAACATACCTCGTCTTTCTCGATCGTTGCATCAGCAATTGTTCTCACGTCTTCATGCACATCAAAGTGAAACAGCTGTTAAGAAAAACATTGTGCAGGTGGAGTCTCAGCTACGATTTCTAAATAGATTTCAATTTAAAATGTATTCCAAAGATGTCGACAAGGCATACCGGGCCACTCTTTCCCCTAGCTTTGTTAATGATCAGCTCGTAGAAACTGTGTTGCTGCATTAGCAAAGAAGACCAAAATCAACATCCCCCTGTTATCGTCAAGTTCTAGATAGTTAAGTTGATTAGTGTTCACTATTGTAAAAAAGTTCTCACATGTGGGATTATAAGATCTTCCTTTACATATAGCAAATTCTCAACTGATGTCGTCCGAATCTCCCGGAAGTCAGGGGCAAGCTGCTGCTGAACAGACCGTAGAAAATTCCCAATTGCGTCACCCTTGCGGACCTGTAAAAGGGTACATCATAAATGGTAAGTATATCATCAGACTTGAGCTCAAACAACAAGACAAAGATGTAGCTTGTGCTTACCTGGATAACTCGTCTATGGCCCGTCCCATCCCAGTAACTGTAAGTAATCTCAAGAGGCTCGTCTGAATAACACAAAAGAAAAAGTTAGACAATCTTCCTTGAATCAAGTATCACTACTGAAATTACAAGTAACTGGCAAGATGACAACTTTTAATCTGCTCTTGTTCACGAAGCCACTGTTTCTTCAGCCTTTCACGTTCAGCTTGTTCCTCCGCCTCCCGCTCACTGAAACAGCAACCTCAAAACACCACAGCTAAAGTTAAGACTTGCTGCAAAAGCAGACAGTGAAGATAAAGTAAACAAGAGAGCAAGAGATCACCTGTCAGGCAAAAAATTAGTTTCCACCGAGGGGTCCTTGCCAAGTTTTCCACAGCGTAAGTTCATTGGCTCAGAACTCTCTGCATAAGATAATGGGTACATGATCAAAGTTACCGAATATGTAAACTCACTAGGACAGTATAAGATGAGGTTTGAAATTCATATGCCAGCAAGCTATCTGCATCTCAAAAGTTTCATCAACCAAGCAAGACTCTGATCAACAACTGTCTCTAACACATGATGAGATTCATTCTTTCCAAAAAAAGATAGAGCTTAACGACAGCAAGTATCACACGTAATCCTACCACTATCACAATTCACCACTGATATAACAACTATAGAATATTCAGAAATCAAGGTAGTCATTCAGTAAACTAAGTCTGATCTACGAGACTGATGAATCAACCCACTTACTGTTTTCTCCATCTTCATCATCACTGCCATTCTCAATATCTTCAGCAAAAGATAAGCGGGAGGTTCCCTTAATCTTTCTCTTCTTGCTACGCTTCTGTTGTTGAAGCTCCTCTTCCCTGTAGTTTAAAAACAAAGTCTATGAAGCTTTATCCCAAAAAAAAAAAACATCAATAACTATAAATATGGACCTTAAAAACTAAACTCACTCTTGTTGTAGCTTCTGCAATTTCTCCTTCTCTTCTTCTTCAAACTTATTACGAATATTAACCCTCTACAGATATACCAGACACAATTAACACCATAACCTCGATGACTGTTCAAAACTGAACGATAAATGGAGAGTCGTACATGCCATTTACCTTCTCCACATATTCCTCTCTTGTAACTAAACCGACTGTTTCCTTCTTGAAAGCAGTGTCAAGAATCTATAGCAAAAAGAAAACAAATATGTTAAAAAAAAAAACCAAATTTCACGAAATGAAAACATCTGTGACTCGTCGGCAATGCAAACCAGTGAAAACTCATTACTTAAGTGATGAATACACGCCAAAGGCTGCAATTTCCTAATTGTGTTATGTGAATCGTATTATAGATGTTTGGAATCATTAACCTCACAAATTCCCCTAAAATTTGCGGAAGCTCCTAAATTCTCAGAGTCAGAATGAGTTTTTAATTTAGTTGCTACAACAATCGACCATTGATTTTCTCGAGAACAAACGAATCATCGAAACCTAGAAATCGGAAAGAAGTCTAACTAGTTGGTGATTGATTACAGGGGATATTGAAAGGGAAAAGATAAGAAAAGAGATTGATGGAACCTCGCAAGAGCTGGTGCCGAATTGGAGTAGACCAGATTGCTCTTGGCCGGAGGCAGTCTTGCTCTTCAACTCCTGGAATTTACGGCGTTCAGCTTCTCTTTGCTTTTCCAGCCGCCGTATCCTCACCGCATCTTGAGCCGAACCCACGTACCCATCCCCCATACCCGACATCTTCTCTCTTGCTCGCTCGAAATCGGAATCGGAATGAAAATCACAAGAAGATACTTCCGACCGCCATTGTTGAGAGCTAGCTAAAGTATTTTATGCAAAACACTTTTGTTCGTTTTTGGGCTTTTATGGGCCTTTTATCAGGCCAGATATTGGGCTTTCCACAAACGCTAAGTGATTTCTACTTCTAGCTCCCACTAAAGACGCATTAATTTGTTTTAGATATCAATTACAGTAAAA